ACGATACGGGGTAGTGGGTATTCTTACGCTGCCATTAAACGGGAGAGGTGTGTCAGGATCGTATCAAATGGAAGGCCGTTGTCTCTGCCTACCCCTGTGAGTAACGGGCGTGAGTGACTGTGACCATTTATGACAATAAATTCTTTCCATTTTCCCGTGGTTTGTTCCTCATTAAACAAATTTTATGCATTGTATTCTATGAATAAAATATTGCTTGCATAAATAATTTCATCGCTAGGGAATTTGTATTCCTACAATTTAGTATTTTGTTTTTACGTTGTTCAAAATCCGATTAACGTTCAAATTGTCTGCATAGCGAAATCGCTTTAGTGTCCGTTATTTTCCGCTTTTCAATAAAAATAGAGTGAACAGGATCGTTTTTCAACTGGGAGTTTATTAAAAGTTATGCCTTAGACGGGCTAAAAATCTGTTATCACTTGTTAATTAGAAATTTCCATTAGCAGCCTAGAAATAGTGAAAAGGTAGTGTTTCATCCAAAGTACCTAGAAAAGCACGTAAAACCGTTGGTCCTGCGTCTGATCTCCTTCGGTCGTGTCGGATTGCTTACCCATCAGACTATGAGACTTTGGTAGTAGAGATAGTACATGTGCTTTCGCACATATTAGTGCAATATAATTTGTGGTTAATGGAACTTACCTTAAGTGAAGTTCAACCAAAATTATACGAGTTGTAGCATCCTTAGAGATTTAATGGAACTTACCTTAGTTCCATTAATGATAAATTATACTACGTTGCTGCATCGTAGGAGATTTAAAAACGATGTAGGTATGTTTAGTGCTCCATAGCAGAATTATCAAATAAAAAGAACAACTATATAGAAAAGGATCACTAGTATATTTAATTCAAGAATGCATGAAGTATTACGATTCCAGTAGAAAACTAAATAACATTTTAAATATATTAATTTTTAAATTAATTGGTAACTTTACTATGCGGGTGCAATAGTTTTGCGGCCAGTTGGTCAGTGGTGGGAGTGGTGGTGGGCAACGTGCTGCTGGCTGCCACCTGCAAATGCCAGACTGAAGCTGGAGGGTAGTACCGAGCCTGCGCATGGGTTGCACGTACCCCTTCCTACCCGCTCGGCAGGTAGAGAGGCGCCTTTGAGTATCCCTGTGCACCTGTGACCATGGGTTTTCTAGGAGCAGACAATTGTAGTTTTTTGATCTGCAGGCTGCTTTTTCTCTAATGACTTCTTTTGATGTCTTCACTTAAATTGTCACCAAAAATAATTTTTACTTATTCAATGTCATGGCATTACATTAATAAAGCTTCTGTCTAACATTGGGATATTTAGTTGTCAACAGTTTATTGTTTCCTCATGGTAAAGCTCTAATTGTATTTGAATTATCTCTGATTTTTGTTTAATTCATATTAAATTTGCTCATTTCTTTTCTTTTCTTTTTTTTTTCTTTAAAAAAACGTACTAAGATTTTCTCCTGTATCGTGAAGGCAGTTTACAAACACAAATTTCACAAGGACAAACATCCAGACCTGGAACAATAATTTGTAGGCCATACAAATACTTGTTCCGTGCGGGGTTCGAACCCGCGCCCCCCAGCGCAGCAACTCATTGCTAAGCCACTGTGCCACGGGGCCGTCAACTTTACTTAATAACTTGACGTTAAATTTGTTAAACCTGCAAACCTACAACCTAATTGGTTTTGCCTGTCAAGATTTGTTGTTGGTCCTGAAAGATTTGTTGTGTACTGACACGCCCTGGGCGTTCAATCTTGGCGCTTTAGCAAAATGAAAATTTTCTAGGATAATTGTTTTCTTAAGCAAGTTCTCCATGTTCCTTCTCCTATCCTCCTCTAAGAATTTTATCCCAACGTTCAGCGATTTCCGTAGGGATCTTCTGCCCACTCCTCCGACGTTTTACTTCACTAAGGCTGCCAAAATTTCGGAGAAACACATTTTTATCGTTTTGAGACTGAGAATATTCACGAACTCTTTCTGAAGACTCTTTAAGGATAGTACTCTAGGCTGTAAACGAGAAGGGTGTCAGTGTGGGCATTTTAATCAATGACCTAGGACAGCGGCGCTCAGAAGCGGCTTTGCCTTTCTGAAAATAACAATTGCTACCATCATGTTCGTTAGTGTCGAAATTTATTTCCTTATACTCGTTACAAGAGTTATATTCAGAATCTTTTAGAACAAGGTGAACCAGTTTATTATTTACTTTCTGGGTAACATCACGTGTAAACACATTAAAAAAGCAAATTTTATATTTCCGGATGACATCACGTGGCACCACTGAAGAAATAATGGTATATAATATATTCAGACAATAATAAACCAAACAATCCCGATTATTAGCTCTTCACTTTCTGGGTAACAACGCGTGTCACCACATTAAGAAAACAAGTTTTATATTTCCGGATGACATCACGTGCCACCGCTGAGGATATAAAATAATTTTAATTTTATTAATGAATATGTAAGTACTTAGCAGCACTTACATATTCAGGCAGACGTACTAAAATATTACCCTAATGTCACTTGTTAAAGGCACAATAAATAAGAATCACAACATTAATTATTATTTAAAAAGTTTTAAAACTAACCTTTATTACAGGAACATCTGGCGCTTTTTGTCAAGACTTTAACTCCTTTTCCAAACGCCTCATTTTAATTCTAATTTTGTCAGCAGTCTTCTCACTTCTTCTTTTTTTTCATGTTTACTTAAATTCTACAATTTAACTACACAAAACTTTTGTTGCGGCGCACATGCGGATGATGCAACACACGGAAAACGAATGACTGAAACACCCGGCCGGCACGGAAGGATGACAGTGGCGTGCAAAACTCAATAGACAATCTTTATAATAATAATTATTTAATATTTTGTAAAAAAAATATCTACAATTCGTGTTATGATGCAGAACCACAGAAAGCGGACTACATAGTTTTTAAATCTCCTACGATGCAGCAACGAAGTATAGTCCTGAGATGATAGCCAGTCGCCATCAAAACTGGCACCGATACATAAATTCGATCTAAAAGATATTCTCATTATAACTTGATTAAAAATATGTAGATGTGCCTTTTTTAAGAAAGGCAGAAAAGGTGAACAACCTGGCAAAATTTTCTATAAGTCGACCCTGTAAAAAATAAAAATAAAAATTCTTGCAGTTGCAAAGTAAAACAAATAAATATTTTTAATCACACCTTACGATACTCACTGCATATGAATTAATAATTTATTCTCAAATTTGAATAATTATGGACGCAGTGCCTGCTAGATTGCAGACTGTCGGTGGTAAAGTATAATAATTAAAAAGTTACAGCCTATATACGAACCACAGTTGATCACAGACCTACTCTTATTTCTAAAAGGGTTATGTGCATAGTCCGGATTCAACTCGGCTGGGCAGCGTTCGGGAAGCTACGACACATCTTCTCGTCAGACATACCTCAAAACCTGAAAACGAAATTGTACAACCAGTGCGTGTTGCCAGTGATGACTTATGGAACTGAGACATGGTCCTTCACTACTGGCCGTATGAGGAAGCTCAAGGTCGCTCAGCGAGCTATGGAGAGGGCTATGCTCGGAGTTTCTCTGCGTGATAAACTTAGGAATGAGGATATCCGCAGTAGAACCAGAGTAACCGACATAGCCCAACGGATTAGTAAGCTGAAGTGGCAGTGGGCCGGCCATATAGCTCGAAGAACCGACAACCGATAGGGAAGAAAGGTTCTCGAGTGGCAGCCTCGTACCGGTAGGTAGGTCTGTGATCAACTGTGGGTCGTATATAGGCTGTAACTTTTTAATTGTAACATTTTACGAGTAATTACTTTACCACCGACGGTCTGCAATCTAGCAGGCACTGCGTCCATAATTATTCAAATTTGAGAATAAATTATTAATTCATATGCAGTGGGTGTCGTAAGGTGTGATTAAAAAATATTTATTTGCTTTACTTTGCAACTGCAAGAATTTTTATTTTTATTTTTTCCAGGGTTGACTTATAGAGAATTTTGCCAGCCATCAAGTTCACCTTTTATGTCTTTCTTAAAAAAGGCACATCTACATATTTTTAATCAAGTTATAATGAGAATATCTTTTAGATCGAATTTATGTATCGGTGGCCAGTTTTGATGGCGGCTGGCTATTATTTTAGGAATATACTTCGTTGCTGCATCCTATGACATTAAAAAACTATGTAGTCTGCTTTCTGTGGTACTGCATCATCACACGAATTTTAGATATTATTTTTACAAAAAATTAAATAATTATTATTATAAAGATTGTCTATTGAGTTTTGCACGCCACTGTCATCCTTCCGTGCCGGCCAGGCGTTTCAGTCATTCGTTTTCCGTGTGTTGCATCATCCGCATGTGCGCCGCAACAAAAGTTTTGTTTAGTTAAATTGTAGAATTTAAGTAAACTTGAAAAAAAAAAAGAAGTGAGAAGACTGATGACAAAATTAGAATTAAAATGAGGCGTTTGGTTAAGAAGTTAAAGTCTTGACAAAAAGTGCCAGATGTTCCCGTAATAAAGGTTAGTTTTAAACCTCTTTAAATAATAATTATACTCTCTCCTTGTCTGAGATATTATTACAATGTAGTCTACGCTTTTCGTCGTCGTAGCCATCACAAGGTTCCAAGCTCCAACCACAAAAAAAAAGAAATGTGTTGTTTATGGATATAGTCTCTGTCAACATACCAAGTCAACTTCATTAGTTTAAAGCCCTTTCATGAACAACCCTTGCTTAAGGGTTTTAAGGGACGGGTGGGAGTATAGTCTCGGACAAGGAGCTTCGTATAATTGTGATTGAACTTCACTTAAGGTAAGTTCGTTTAATCACCTAATTATACTCTCTCCTTGTCCGAGATATTATTACAATGTAGATGTTTAAAGACTGGGTTGTGAATGAAAGTACTATTATGCAATTTTTAACAATGTATATTAAAAACAATTAAAGTAATTCTGCTTACAATCTTTAATCACTAATCTGTTTTATTCTTAATTAATCAAATCAATTAACATGTGATGTGTTGCAAACGGTACTACGGAATAATAATGGATCTTCTGAGAGAGGTCTATTGTAAAACCTTGCAAAGGTTTCCGAATTTTTTGACCAACCCGCTGTCTTCCTTATGAGGTCCATACTTAAACCTGCCCGGTTCGCGGCAGAGGTCGCAGCATGTCTAGTGCTGTGTGCTGTAAAAATAGACATATCTATTCCTGCCTTACTCAAAGTAGATTTAATCCATCGGCTTAAGGTCTGCGATGAAGCCGCTCGATATGGTTTCTTAATTGTTAAGAGTAATTGTTCAGTATTGTGTCTGAATTGTTCTGTTCTCCTAATATATGATTTTAATGTATTCACTGGGCATATTTCTAATTTACATGTATAAATTTTAAGATGTAAAATCGGTTGAAGTATATTTTTATTTGAAGTTTTTATTAAATCCGGTATTTTAATCTGTACCCCAGATGAATTAATTTTAATATTTTGTAACTTAATATGTGATAAGGTTTGTACCCTGTGGCCTGTTGTAAGTGCTAATATAGTGACTAACTTCTTGGTTAATAATTCAATATCAATGGACTCATTTGGGTATTGTAGTGCTAAATAATCTAGAACTAAGCCCGGATCCCATGTAACATTATATTTTGGTTTTGGGGGTTTCAACCTGAACACTCCCTTAAAGAATCGCTTTAGCCTATCATCACACCCCACTTTTGGACCAATTAAAAGGGATAAGGCCGATCTGGCTGCGTTTAATGTACCATACGATGCTCCCGCATCAAAACGTTCGCTTAAAAATTTAAGGATAAAGGGGACTGAAGCTTGGTATGGATCTATATCAAGGGTCCTGCAATATTCCCACCATAATCTTAGGGTTGAGTCGTATTGTTTCATTGTATTTCCCGAGAGTGAATTTAACATGATCTGAAGAGCTGAAGTTGGGGTCCCACGTCTTATGTATGCTTCGCTGACAACAGCCCTGCTGCCAGGGTAAGCTGCCGATGGAGAGGATGAGACTTCCTGTAAGGAGATGACAATAACATACTACTGGGATTAAATAACAACAATTCATTCACCAAAAGGCCTTTTAACAATGGGAACCATGGTTGAGAAGGCCAATAAGGGAATACTACAATTCCTGTTGCTTTATCTTTTTTAATTTTATCTAAGCATTTAAGAACTAGGGAGAATGGTGGAAAAGCATAAAAAAAATATCTTTCCCAATTTAAGGTAAATGCATCTACCGCTATGGCTTCTGGATCTCTCTTCCACGACACAAAATTTTTGCATTTATTATTAATTCTAGATGCAAATAAATCAATTTCAGGGTAACCAAATTTTTCAACAATCCTATTAAAAGCCTGTTGGGATAATTTCCATTCTATGTTTATTTTCCTTGACTCTGAGTCTGCCTCAACATTGTCTTTAGTATTGATGTATGAGGCATACATCCATATATTTCGTACCTCACACCATTGCCAGAGCTGTCTTGTAATATTGTTTAAATGAATATACTGTACTCCCCCCATCTTGTTTATGTATGCTATTGCTGTTGTGTTATCAACTCTTAACAAGATCTCACAATTACTATAATTTTTGGCAAAACATTGCAGGCCTAAGAATGCTGCTTTTAATTCCAAATAATTTATATGACATTTCATTTCGCTAGTCGACCAAGATCCCGAAGTTCTTTCCAATCCCTTCACTGCACCCCAGCCTGTTTTTGAGGCATCCGTATGGATCTCGATGCAAAATTTTTGCTGTTTAATATAATTATGCTTGTGGATATTTGACTTCCACCATTCTAACTCTGGATGGGTATGATTTGTAATAGACATTCGTTCGTCATAATTGTCATAGCATTTTAATAATGCTAGAAATTTCTCTCTCTCTAATAACTTTGTATAAACCCAACCATAGGGTACAGCTGGACAAAATGATGTTAACCTACCTAATAATTGTGAAAATTCCCTAATCTTATAATGGCTTTTCCTTTCAAAATCTTTAATATTTTCCAATATGGCCAATTGTTTTTCTTTTGGAACAGATAGGGAAAGATCTTTTGAATCTAGAATAATTCCTAAATCAGGTCTGTTTTGGAGTTAAAATGCTTTTATCAAAATTTACTGAGAATCCCAATTTTTGGAATAATCTACATGCTAGTTTTACATTCTCTCTACATTTTAACTGACTAGAGTTAAAGTATATGCTATCATCTAAATAACATGATAAAATGATATCTTTACTTCTAAGATAGGTACAAATTGGTTTCATTAGTTTGGTGAACACAAAAGGAACAGAGCAAATGCCAAATGGTAAACAGTTAAATTGGTACAATTTTTCCTCAAATCTAAATCTTAAGAATTTCTTTGAATCTTCTGAAAGGGCTATACTGAAATAGGCATCTTTGAGGTCAATTTTCGCCATGAAACAATTTTTGGAAATTAATTCACAAGCTGTTCTGATATTCTCTAATTTAAAATGAGAAGTCTCAATGTATTCATTTAATTTCTTTAAGTTTAAAATATTAAATAAACCTATAATTTCCATTCTGTTTTGGAATAACAAATATTGGGGATACAAACTGGCCTTCACAAAACAAACATTCTGAAACTGCACCTATTTCTAATAATTTCTGGATTTCTGTGTATATTATATTTCTTTCCTTTCCAGACCAGCATTGGGTAGGTGCCTCATATAAATTTGGTATTTGAGTAAAGGGTATTTTATAACCCTTTATCCAGTTTATTAAGACTGGGTCATTTGTAATATCTAACCATTTACTTAGACATTGTTTTAACTTCCCAGTACCTACCTCTAATGACGGTAGTTTCTCCTTGTCTGAGCTGGTGGGGCTCCCGTGTGTTGAGTCCTCCTCCGTAGTGGCTGACTGGGACGATATTTCTGTTTGTTGGGTTGTACTCGATAATTCTGCCCACTGCGATTGAGATGTTGAACTTGCAGTGGACTCTTCCAGTTTCCCTTTTTTGGGACTGTCTTTTTCTTCTCTACCGTTTTTATCTGAGCTCCTGTTCTTTGGACGGTCTGTGCTGTTTTGATGTTCTCGGGACAGTCCTTTCCAAATAACAATTCATCTGTCTTTGCATTCTTCAATGCTTCTTTCAGTACTATGGTTGCCCCTGACAATGCAAAATATCTTCTTGCAGCCGAGTCCTCGTAGAATATTTCTGCTGCTATCTTTGCAGTGTCACTTAATTGTTCCACTATATCTCTTGTATTTATATTCCCTTTGATGATATTTGTCAGTACCAACCCGATTCCTGTCATTATTTTTCCCGTCATATTTTGTCTATTTACCAAACGTTTATCTCTCTTAATTAGTATTTCTGACAATGATTTTCACGAGGTTCTTTCCCCAATCCTTCCATCATAATTTTCGTCCATCTTGTTGCTAACTGCATGTTTATTGGCTCTCCCACTTCTTTTGATTCTTCTCCTTCTGGTCCCAAGGCTAACAAAAGCTCCTCTGGGATGTCATCATTGTCTGAAATTTATATTTATATAAAAATATTGTTTTATTATAGTTTGATATGAATGAATTGTTCAATATGATAGCGCTACAAAAACCCTTGTCTATCCTCAATGTGATAGCTCTAAAGGATTTAATTAATTCCCTGTCTAACCTCTAAGTGATAGCTCTAAGGTAAGGATATGACATGTTTATCCTCACTGATAGTATGTCATCTGAACAGACACCTGCTATTTCTACTATGTGATAGCACTATAAAATCTTTGTCTATCCTCAAGGTGATAGCTCTAAAAGATTTATTTTCCTGTCTATTCTCAAGGTAATAGCTCTAAGGGATAAGATTTGACATAGCTATCGTCACTGATGCGTAATTAATAGCCCTTAGACCTCGGAACAGATAACTGGCATTTACTATATTCTAGCAGTATTTTCTATTTATGTCTGTGTGTATTTTTAATGTCTCATAAGAAGAAACTCACCTGAAGCGTTTGTTTGACCTTCCATCTGAATTTCTTCGATTGTATTTTCCTCTAATGACTCTGCAATTGTTACATTAGGCACAGATAAATCCACTAATGGAGGAGTATTCTCTTTAGGGCCTTCAAAATTTTCTTTCTTCCTCAATTTCTTTTCTAGCTTCTTAATCTTCTTTCTAATTTTGTCGGGATTATCAGAAGTTTTCCTCTTCCCCATTTTAGCAAAAAAAACTAAGCGCGAGTGCGAATATTTGAATTATTGATAATAATAAAGAATTTTGCAGTTCGTTTTAACTTACGGAAGCAACTCAAGTTGTAACGGTAACGGTTATTTAGTTTAGTTTAGTTTAGTTTACGACGGGCTGTTTTCCGCAACTCCACGTCTATGCGCGTATTTTGCGTGTGGGCAGGAATAATGTGATTATTCGAGCCATGAGATCTCTCCGAAGAAGCTCAACAGGCCCTTGATGTTGCATGCAACTTCGGGGAGTGATCCCGGCGTGCCGAGATGTTTAGCCCTGTATGTAGCGACCTCCGGACATTTCAGTAGCACGTGGGCCGCCGTTTCTTCCTCCCCCATACATGCCCTGCACAGGGGACTATCTGTAACACCTATAGTAAATAAATGTTTGTTAAAGGTGCCGTGTCCTGTGATAGCACTTGTTACTATCCTAATCTGCGGCTTGTTCAGTCTCATTAAAACTTTTGTTAAGCGACTGTTAATTTCAGGCAGGGCAACCCTAGCTTGTCTACAGTCTACTAGATTTTTCCAAAGCTGAGCGTGTTGATTAGTGAAGTGTCTACGTACCAGTGAACAAACGTTACCAAAGGGGATTGGTATGATTGGTTCCGGCCCTATAGTGGCCAAAGCCGATCCTCTTCTGGCAAGTTCGTCTGCTGCATCGTTGCCTCTGGATCCACTGTGTCCCTTTATCCATTGCAGGGTCACATTGTAGTTTTTACATACCTCATTTAATCGTTGATGGCATTCATATATTAGTCCCGAGTTCACCACATTGCATCTCAGGGCTTGGAGTACCGCCCTACTGTCGGTCAGTATTCTGATGGGGAAGTCATTAACCTTCCTAGCATCTATTGCTATGGCCGCTTGAATGATACCCATACATTCCGCCTGAAAGACCGTGTTATAGGTACCCAGCGGTGTGCATATGTGAATATTGAGATCTTCAGAGAAAGCTCCACAACCTACACCTTCATTTGTTTTAGAACCATCGGTGAAAATTCTAAGCTCTTTTGGGCTTAATCCTTCCGGCTGGCTGTTTTCATTTAACTGTATCTTGTATTTCTTATCGAAAACAAATTGTTTAGGAATCCTATCGTATTTGGCTTGTAGGATAGGAATTTTTGAGTGAATTCTATCAATTATGCCTGTATGAGGGACACTATTCTTACTCCAAAGATTTAGGGTCTTGAGTCTGATGGCAGCTAAAGTCGCTTCTTGTTGTATATGTAGATGAAGCGGAGTTAGCTCCAGCATCGCTTCTAAGGCTGCTGTTGGCGTAGTTGTCATGCAGCCTGTAGCAGCCATACATGCCAGTCTCTGGTAGCGCTGAAGCTTTTTAATTATGGTGGCTTCATTTGTCTTGGTCCACCATACCAGAGCGCCGTATGTGATCATGGGCCGAATTACAGTTTTGTAAAGCCACAGTATGATTTTTGGCGTCAATCCCCATCTTTTGCCAATCATGTTTCTGCATTGCCAGAAAGTTATACTAGCTTTGTTGATTTTGTTTTCTATGTGTTTATTCCAGTTAAGTTTGCTGTCCAAGGTAAGACCTAAATATTTTACCTCAGAGGATAGCTGGAGTTTTGTGCTAAAAAGACTTGGAGGATGATAGTTATTCAGCTTTCGTTTTTGTGTGAACATAACTAAAACCGTTTTATTTGGATTGACGGTTAAGTCGTGTTCCCTGCACCATCTCTCCACTATACGG